GTCTTCCCGTGTGTACTGTTTCCTGCCTGCCCCACCCCACCTTCTGTATTGCTACCTCTCTATTAGAGGCAGCAGTGTGGAGAGAAGCAGGTGGCTCTGTGGAATCCAGTGCTCATGGAGAGCTGGCTTAAAAGCTGGCTCTCCCCCCCCCCCTCCGGGCATCAACTCATGCCTCCAACCTTGATGCCTCTAATATATAGGCAGCAATGGGTGTGTGTGTGTGTGTAGTCATTTGGATCAATCCATGAGCCTAGGCTTATGGGTTAATCATTTAAACGACTATATGCTAACATGCCTAGCCCCAACCATCCCACTCTGAGGTGGGACATGCTCCCTTCCGCTCCCAGGGCACAGATTCAGCAAACCAAGGGTGACCCCTTGTAAGGAGAGGGAAGTGAAAAAAACAGGGACTTTTAATATCTTATTAAGGTTTCTAGATTTCCTGGGATGGCTTCCTCAAAAAAAGAGACAATTGTGTGAAATCATGGACAGGAGGCAATTGCTGAGTTTTGTCAGAACATTTCTGACCAGTTCTAGTGACAGGTCAGAGCAAAAAGAGGTATAAAGAGAACAGGAAGTTTTCTGAAAGGACAGGATTATATCACCTATGTCCTTGGAAAAGGTGGGATTGAGAGGAGTAGAAGGGGAAATTACAAAAGTGTTGATGGCAAACTAGAGCAATAATAGAGAAAAGGAAAGAAAGAAGTGAATTCACCATACTTGGCTGACTAAAAGGCAATGCTGGGCAAGCTGAGTAGATGAGTGGAGAAGAGAATGGTTTGAAAGATGCAGCAAGGATGCACCATTGGAAATAAAGACTGAAGAACAGTCATTTGTAAAATACAAAGGAATTAAATGAGCTACCAATAACAAATTTCTTTTATAACTGCATGCTAAAATAAGTTAAATGAATTGAATTAAACTGCAGAAAGTAAAGCTAGTTTATATTTACGTAAGTAATTATCTTTCTAGCTAACTGATCTCACTAGTTTAATGGGTTAAATGAGTGGGAAATTATCATTTTGCCTAGCTCAAACTGAATCTAAATAAGGCAAACTAATTTAAATAAAATGATTTTGGTTTTCATCAATTACACTTCCAATGAAGTGTATAATACAGATCTGAATGTCTTTATGCAGGAAAAAAATAAAATAACAAAAAAAGAAGGATAATGGCATAAGACAAAAGTATATTCTTGGTAATGCTGAGGAAGCGGGTAATTTAGAGCATTTTGATGAGAATTCATTTATTAACAATGGGTGATTGTGACCACTGTTGTCTAATGACTATGAATTATTGCCACAAAGAATGAAGATAATGATAGGCCTCCAGCTGAAAAGAGTTAGCAGTGAAGTAACATGAATAATACCAGCACAGGCTAGTTTCTATAAGTTAAGGGTCATATACATTGTCAAGAAAATGAATTTTGTCTTGATATGGCAAAAAAAATATTAAAATATGATTTAATGCTCCCATAAAGTTATTTATATGTTCACCTCAACTCCTATTTTAGGCCTCTTATGCATTACACTAAGGGCTGTACTTTGCCATGGTAACTGTTTGGAGAAGATCAAGGATATGTCGAGGCAAAATTAGCAAAAGTCCTAAAAAGTGTGGTAGGAATAACAATTGATGTTTCCTCTTTCTGAGCACATTGTAGGGAATAATCCCCACTCATAGGAATATGTATTAGCAGGACTAATTGTGTTAAAAAAAATCATTCCCTGTAATGTTTTCTGGACTTCTTGTGTTACCCTGCCTAGTGGTACAGTGATTGGCAACAAGTAAAATGATAGCGTCTGCTTCTACTATCCATCTGTTTTTTTAATGACACCCACACACATGCCCATATATCCACCCTCCCACACACATTTTCTCACAGAACACATTCATGCTCTTTCTTGCATTATTTAATTCATCCCATCATGCACTTATGAAGCTACCATTTAGTTTTTGTTTACTGGTAGCTGTAGCAATATTTTAACAGATATCCATATACACCTAGAAAACCCACCACTTTTCATATGCCTGCTTGAACAGCCTTAGTTAGCATGGGTGGTGGGAAAACCACCAGTTCAGAGAGGCTAGCCTCTAGCCCGGCCCACTCCTTCCAGCTAAATACCATCCCCTTCTGCACAGAGCCCAGATGTCCCCCCTCTGCAGCTGCCAGACTCTCCTAACCCCAGAGCACTGAGCAAGTGCATGATCCTCTGAGCACCGGGCAGTATGCAGTCCTGCCAGTCCTTGAGTACTGGGCCAGTGCATGGTGTGTGGCACCCAGTCCTAGAGCACTGAGCAGTAAGTGACACACCAGAGCACTGGGTGTGTGGACAGAATGCAGACCCTCCCTCAGCCCTGGAGTGATGGGGAGTGCACGGTCTCCCTAGTCCTGAAGCGCTGGGCAGTTTGGTCTCAGTCCTGGCTCCAACCCGCACTGGCTAGCCCCAGCTACCCCAAATTCTAGACACTCTAGCCCCAGAACCTACAGGTTTCCCTTTCCAGAAGAGGAGCAGCCTGCTGCCAACTAGCAACACGAGGAGGCCTCTTGACTGAGCATAGGTGGGCCACAGAGGGCAGTTTGGGTAGGCACAGCCTTTTCCTGCCTATTAGTTTCACTGCCCATGTTAGTTATACTTTCTGCTGTTTGTATCATCATTTGTTTGCATAGTCACAAAAACATCATTATTTCTGTCCGGTGTTGTAGTAATGTGTCGTCTTCTCCCTTCTGGAAACTAAGGAGACTTAACGTCTACAAGACTTTGAAACTTTTTAAGACTCAAATGCCCCATTTAAGATAAAGTTCTCTTTAATTAGTGTGTCCTGGTACTGGCCTCTGACAGTCCTTTAGCCTCTATGAGTTCCATTTAGATGGTATTGGGAAAGTTGATCAGGAATGGGAGGACTGGGTCTTTTGCAACCTAATTAGCTTCCTTCTTTCTCTCCACCCAAGAAGATAGTTCCCCAGAGGGAGGGTCTCTAGTGACAGATTCTCTGTTCCTTGCAACCTGGTGGTGGATCTCTGGGTAGGGACTGAGAAAATATACATACTCAAGGACCCAAGTATTTCCTTTATAATGAGACCTCCAGATTTCAATATCAGCCTGTTATGCATATTCAATCTTGTATTGGGCCCCCAGAAAAACCAAATGATTTAATATCGCAAGGAATCCATTTTACCTAATGCAATCTTGGGAAATATTAATTAATTGTTATTAATTATGTGCATTTCACTGTGACTTGGTTTCTCATCAGGTTAATAGCTTCAGTGTGAGAGCTGCTGACCTCGGAATGTTAATCAAAGTGCTAGTTGAACACAATAGTATTGGTTATGGAGCTGGATGGTACTTGGACCAAATAACCCTACATGAATCAGATGAGAGTGATTGCCAATATGTATTCTCATGCCAGCAATGGTTAGACAGTGGAGTTGGTGATGGACGGCTGGAACGAGAGATGAGACTTCTTGGAAAAGTAAGAAATGAGAGATTGGCAGGAAATATTCAAGGTGAGATATGAAATCCTCAAAACACATTCAAACTTCTAATTTGATTGTATTTTATGTTTATTTTCCCAGGATGGGTCAATTGAGATTTAATATGCAATATGGATAGACACTAATATACGTTTATGCTGAATAGCTTCTTTTATACAAATGTGTCCCCAGTACTGTACAGAACCTGTAAATAGTTATAATGTTAAAAGAAAAAAGAGCACAAAGAGGGAGTTTAAGAAATATATGCTAAGCAGCAAATATGTTTTCAAATGAAATTTGAAAATAGATGTTGAGTTGATGAGAAAGAAAGAGGATAGATTGTTCCATATGTTGGGAAATGCAGAGCAGAAGGCTCTTGCAATACTGTCATGTGGAGAAACATGAAATATTTCTTTTAGAACATAATGTTAGTTTTACCATATGTTTACATGTTTTCCATTGGCTTTGCTGTTATTTGCATTGTATTTTCATTTAAAAAATCTGTATGTGGTTCCAGTTCTCAATGGTACTTAGCTTAGGGGTCAATGGAACCCAGAATTCTATTCAGAATTTGAAATGAACAGAAGATGAAACTTCAAGAAACAATTTGGACACTGAAAACATTTTAAGCCTTTAACCTTTTGTCATTGTACCACTGTACTTGGCTTTGTCCCATAATCTCTTTTAGAAAGAAGTAAAGTATTGATTTGGATCCATTTACGGTATCAGAATCACAAATGACAGACAAGACTCTGTGCTCAGACCTAAGCAAGCTGGACACCAAAATTGCTTCCCAAAACTGCTATGTTTTAACAAAACTTCAATTACTTTATATACATGCTGTGACTTACGGCTGTTCCTTTTTATGCTGGGTATTTTGTGTATATTAGCTGTTTTTGTTATAGACACAGGAAGCAAAATATACATCCTTCAGTTTGTGCTGCATGTCCTTGATACAGTAGGCAGTTTCTGTTATAATTTAAGGGAACATTGGAATATCAGAAAAATGTTGCTGCAGCAAAAGAAACTCAGAAGAGGTTGGAGATATGACTGTAGGTCCAGTAGTGACAAACACTGACCTCCCAAACCTCAGTGTATCCATCAATCTAGAGTTGCCATTTTTAACATAAGAAGAATCTGCTTTCTTGCTGATGGAATATAACTCCCCCCTTCCTCCAAATCCAGACTGAGAATTTTCATTAGTTCCCAAGGTCCATGACTAGTAACATTCAGTATTTCAGTAACCATACAGTCTCAAAACAACATTCCATCTGCCAATAGAGATATAGGAAATTTTCATTTAACTCTCATTCACTTTTCATTGCTATCTTTGGATTAATTTATTCCCAGCTTTCACAAAGTTGGCTGTGTCAGCCTTAAACTTTCTCTCACTAAAGCTTATACATTTGAACTCATGGGAGCAGATCCTCAGGTGGAATAATTGGTCTAGCACATAAAGATCTAAATTAAAAAAATAATTGAATCATACGCAGTAGGGGGCCAGTCCAGGTGACAAAAAGCTCTTCAAAAGTTATGATTACTGTCATAGAAATTGTTGCCATGATAAACAGCAGGTCCACTGATGGAGGGTGGGGAACAGCAAAAGGGGAAGTTATCCCAGAACCTGATAATTCAGAGGGGCCCAGGACTCCTAACCACCACCGCCTGCTAGTGTGTCAGTGGTGACAGCCAGAGCCCTAGACCCTTTAAATGGCCATTGGAGCGCCACACTGTGCACTCTGAATAGCAATTAGGCAGGGGTGGGCAAAAGGGCCTCCACGAGCCAGATCTGGCCTACCATGCAGGTGGATTTGGCCCACAGAAGCCCTGCTGATCCCCCGCCCCCAGGCCAGTGAAGAAGGCTTTGGGCACTCCCCCGCCCCCAGACCTTAATTGGCCTGGGGGTTACCATGCAGGTGGATTTGGCCCACAGAAGCCCTGCTGATCCCCCGCCCCCAGGCCAGTGAAGAAGGCTTTGGGCACTCCCCCGCCCCCAGACCTTAATTGGCCTGGGGGTGGGGGAGCATGCAAAACCTCCTCCCACCCTGCCAGGAGCACGTAGAGCTTGGAAGCACTGCGCGCTGCTCGCAGAGAGGGGGGGAGAGCAGAGGATGCTTCGCAAGCTCCCCCGCCCCCAGGCCAATCAGGACCCGGGGGTGGGAGAGCTGTGAGAAGCTTCCTTTGCCCTGCCCCAGCCCTGCGAGGAGCCCACAATACTTCAAAGTGCCACGTGCTCCTTGCAGGGTGGGAGGAGGCTTCCTATGCTCCCCTATCCCCAGGCCCTGATTGGCCTGGGGGTGGGGGAGCATGCCAAGCCTCTTCCAGAGCATGGGTGCCTAGTGGAAAGGGAGGGCAAAGGGGTTCCCCCACCTCCAGACCAATCATGGTCTGGGGGTTTGGTAGCCCCACCCCTTCCTGTTTAGGCCCTGCCCCTTCTGGGGTAGCCTGGGGCTACTTCAAAAATATTTGAAGTGGCCCCCAGGCAAAAATTGTTGCCCACCCCAGCACTAAGGGCTGGCGGCAGGGGGGAGCTACACACCAAGCAGCATGAGGGTTGCCTAGAGGCTGACGTCATGTGCTCCAGGCAGTGCTCAGGTCTGGCTGCCCTGACTTCACCCCTTTGCACCTGAGACCCCCACACTTTGCCCACCTTGCTGTTGGTTCCCCTGTACAGCCTTAAACCTGAACCCCTCAATGCACTCGGCTAGCATGTGATGTCTCATTAATGTCATAGGGATGCACTTTGGGGTCTTCATTATAAAATTAAACAAGTTAAATTTAAACCTAATGTTGGTGTCTTATATTAGAATAAAATGTAGTGTTAATTTTAAACCTTTGGTGTCTCATCTTGCATTTCCTCTGCACCCAAAACTGATGTTCATTTCAGTGGAAGTTTTGCATGTGTTTGACTATCCCTTTGATTTGCAAAGTAAGTTCTATTCTTTTTCAATATCCAGAGTAATCTTCTAGTTCCTTTATATCTCTTGCTTCAGCTATTGTTTTAATTGTTTTCTATGGGCTCAATTCAGAAAAGCATATGCTCAGCTCCACCACTGTTTAGGACTGTACTTAAGCATAAGTATAACTTTATGTTAAGCACATAATTATACGCTGATCTGAATCCAGACAATTTCCTGACTAGGGGGTCATAATTGGTATTCTCAATATGAACAGCACATCTTTTAAAATCTGATCAGTGGAATTGCTGAACCCAAAAGACCATGATTTCTTCAAATGAGAGACTAACTAATATGACCAATGTGAGGAAGAAGGACTTGATGTCCTGTGGTGACCTAAATAAAAATGTCAAATGTGGAGTCAAGGGGTGTTTCTCAGTGATCTCTGGTAAATGAAAGTACCTAACAAATGTCAAGAGTCTAGCTAGTTTCAATGGGTACTTGAACAGCTGAATTCCAGTGAAAAAGATTGATAATTGGCAACCTCTGGCAGAAAGGTTGAGGCTCTAATCTAGGATTTCTGTGTTTACTCAGCAAATGATAATGAATGAGTTAAACAAATTTCAAGATTCTAGTTCAATGGGAAAATGAAAGTCACTTGTTAGTCATTCACTCACTCACTGTGTTAAAAGCATCTGTAGTAAATTGGATATTAAGTACAGTTAATGAATTAATTATTTTTTACTGATTCACTAGGGACTTGGGATATCATTGTTACAACTAGTGATGCTTCATGCATGAGCCCTAAAATGGCTTTAACTGTTTGTGGTGAAAATGGCGCAAGTATACCAGTCTTATTTCCCAAAGGATCCCTTAAGGCTGAGATTTGTCAGATGTCAGTGGAACTTGGTAAGAAATTTACTGCTATTTGCAAAGTTCGCTTGGAAATAGAAGATGGCAGAAATGGAGAGAACTGGTATTGTCGTGAGGTAAATATTACTAATGCAAACCCAGATCTTTCTGTTTTATTTTATTTCAATTTTAAGTTCTCTACTTTCCATAATCTACAGTTATTATTTCCAGAAGCAACTTCCCGTTGTGTTCAATATTATGTAACATTTTTTATTTACAGAGCAAATGGATCTGGTAACTGTATTGGTGCTGTGATTTTATAATGTGCTCAAAATATTTTTGATTAGAATATGTTTGAACAACAAAAATCTTGTAAACTTAAGTTGGATTTCTGGAAGGTAGCTGCTTACAGAGGTGCCATAGTCTATAGCTTTCCCCAGTGCTATCTTTTTATAACTAGCGCCACTGGCATAAATGACAGTGTTTACATAATTCCAAATTGGCTATTACATGTTATGGACCTATGATCCAAGACTACTAATGAAGCGAGACACTAGAAATGCCTTTTGACAAAAATATCTGCCATTAAAGTTGGCATTCTAGAAAAATAAATGAATAGCGAAAGTGACAATCTTTCCTCTCATGTCTAAGATGCTGAAGCTAAAAAACCTTACATCACATCAACATTGCTGTGACACTTTACTGCACAGAAAAGATCCTTTATCAACTGACAAAATAAAAGGAAGTATGTAGGGAAGAATCCCCTACTTTCAGCTTTCATTATACCTTAGTCCATGAACATTTGTGTTTCATTTTCATTACAAAATCAGGTGGGAAAATGTTAATTCTCAGTCTAAATATGTTATATTAAGCTGCTGGATGAAGCACCTGACATTTATCTGCTAGGCCAGTTGTTAATTTCATCTTCTTTTCCAAATGAAATATTCATAGAATAAGTCTGTCAATAACATTATAAGATTATAAAACATGGTGGATCAGAATCGAAGTTTGCACTGAGGATAGAAACTTGGTAATTACAAACAGTGATTCCCATTAACTTGCTTTACTTCATTAAGTCATGGCAGTGACTCAAAGCTTAGTTAGAAGATCACTACCATTTATATGGATAATGAGAATATCTACATTATATTAGGGAGGATTAAAAATACAAAGGGCATAAGCAAAGTGCTAGCTGTGTGGGATTAGAAAGGATTTCCCTTAGGGGTGGGTTTTGCCATCACAATCCCATTGTAGGAATGCTTCAATCTTCATGTGAGGTACCTAGTACTAGTTAATATGGAAGGATACTAGGTCTAGTTTGACCACTGGTCTAATCAAGTTTGATAGTTCCTGTTTTCCTATTACTATTTTATTTAAATTATACAAGACTGGACTTCACAATCTAGGGGACTTGCCCTCACAATCCAGGGAAATGTCATGCACTTCATTCTGCTGTTTTATGGTAGACTGAGATTAAAGTCTCCTAATCATTGTTGAAATTAAAAGCACTGAAAAATAATTCTATTTGTTTTTGAATATACTGTCTCACATCACTCTAACACAATATCCAGTACAAGAACTAACTATAGCACCTCATTTCTAGAGAATGTATTAGCCAAAATACAAGAACAGGTTTTATTCTTCCCACTTCTTCAAGAAGCAAAGCACAGGAAGTGAAGTCTGACCTTCAAGAAACTTTCCAGACATGCAGACATCAGTATGAACTAGAGAATTCTCTTTAACTCTATATCCAAGCCTACATTTCATTTTTTTAAAATCTTTTCAATGTTTTATCACATCGTGGAAAAGATAGGAGCCCTTTAAAGACCAATATAACAGTACCACATGCCTACAATTTTTGCTAATAAAAGACGTTGAGCTTAGTTTGGTCATTTTTTCCCAAAGGTAGTGAAATAGATGATATAGAAATGAAAGATTAGGCCATTTTTCATCTACTAGTCAAAACAGGATTATTCTGTATATATCCAAGTGCTTTGTCTAGTCTTGCTTTAAATGTCTCAGGCAATAGAATTTCAGTTACTCACTCTTGGCATCTATTCTGCAATCTAATAGACTTCATTATTAAAAGATTATTTCTAAAATTCAGTTTTCTTTGTTCACTATCACCCCTTTATTTCCTTTATACAATAATTCACAGAGATTCAATACATTCATTAACAAGTATTTTTAAAATCATGTGATTCAGACATTACTAATGTGCTGGATTTCTATAGTTTCATTTTTCCCAGAATTCCCTTAAAGTATTTTTTTCAGTTACAGAATCTTAATGACTTTCTAATAAGCTATCTTTCCTTCTCCTGCCTGGTTAAAGACCAGTTTCAGAAGGCCAGTTTAGAATAATAATATTCTTTCTTTCTCTACTAATAATAATTGAGATTATCTATCTATCTATCATAGTTTACACAAGAATCTCAGAACACAGATAATGAGATTAGTTTATATTCTTTTTGCATGTGCAGGTGAAACTTCAACACAGAAAAAGTAAAGAAATTCTAGAATTTCCATTTCTTCGGAACTTTGGAAATGCTGAAGGATGCACAGTGGCTGAGCTTCCTGTTCTCACACGTGGTTTTCACTTTCTAATAGGTTTGTTACTTCCAAAAGCACTGAAGATTTGGTCAAGGATCCTGGCTGAGATTTTCAAAGCAATGAAAGAGATTGCATAATACATCTTCTATTCATTTTAATGCATTAATGTAGCTAAATCCTCTGCACTGCTTTGAAACTTGGACAATTTATTTAGTTGTGCATTTATTTAGTTGTGTTTTCCAAGTATGATTAATGCCAGTTTCTGATGCAAAGAGGTGCAGAAATTGAGCACTGAAAAGATTAACAATCTTGTGAGTAACACTCATCATTCATTTTCATCTTGAAAATTTTGCTTTGTTTCTCTCTCAAAAAACAAAGGAAATTCCAAGGGAATGACTCTTGGTGCTGCAATTTCAGATAAGAAGTTATATAGTTCCTCACACAAGATGCATATATGTTTGTGCTCTTAGGAATTTAAGGCATTCATCATTTATGATATAGTTACTAAGTTTCCTCAGAAATTTTCTACTGTGAATTTTGCCTCTCTAACCTCATGACTTTGGAGTGCATATTGCTTTGAGCCTAAATCCATTCATAAACAGAAACTAGTACAGAAACCAATACCTTAGTAGGTACTCGGACTTAAGGACTTAACTTCAGTGTTCTTTCAGCTGCATTGACTTCCTGTATTTCCTGGGTGAATTTTAAGGAATTAAGGGAATATAACCTGGGTGAATTTTAAGGAATTAAGGGATTATAACCTAAATGGTCTGTGATCTATCTGCTTGAGAAATCACCTTTCTCCCTCAGCTCTGTAGCCAGAGTTGATATCAGTGAATACATTCATGCCAGAGCTCCCTTGATATAAAATTAAGGAAGCTATGGGCAGGACATTCTGTTGGAGGGTCCCTTGACCATGAACCCTTGCTCCAAAAAAGCACAAATATGTTGGCTTTCAGGGGATGCTTCACTCCTCATCTTCTTAAAGGACCTTTTGGTGAGAGAGTGAGACCTTTTGCCTGAGGCTACGTCTATACTATAAAAAAAAGTCGGAAAAGGATCTCAATTTGTTAGAAAAAACCCTCTTTCAGAACATCCTCGTAGAATGAGGTTTACAGGGATGCCAAAAATACCACGTCTGCTTTTCCAATTTTTTTTTTTTTTTGGAAAAGCAGACATGTTTCTTGGATGTAGCAGAGCTTTTCTGGGATACCTCCAGAAAAGCTCTGCAATATAGACATAGCCTGAGTGGCAAAGTTAAGTAGAACATGTTATTTTCTCCATAATTTTGTTCCCTTTGTGTTGAGCCAGATCTTCATCACTTATCAAATGCCTTTTGCATTGCTCTAGTGGCACAAAAAAAGAGCACTTAAAGTGACCCTGCCAAGGATTCCCCAGTAGAAGGGAATGAGAGGGAATTGGCTAGAAGTAAGGGAATGGGACAGAAACATATAGTGCTCTTCCAGATCCTCAACTGGCAGCCTATTCCTCAAGGGATTGCTGAGAGTGGTGTAATTTAGAGCAGACTTTAGGGTGATCTGAATTATGCAAGGACTTTTTGATCAGTGGCCAAGATTCAAAGAAAGTGCAAAGGTTTCATCTTCTCCACTGCCAGCAAAGCTAAGGATTGAGCCTTTTATATTTAATTGTGGTTCTGAATAATTATTAAGGTCACCTAGATTTTAGGATGAATATTTTTGTACGTTTGTTGTGCTTCTAAACAAACAAAACAAACAAACAAACAAACTTGTTCCCGGGGTTGCTGTGTTTGTAGTTTTAGAGTAATCAGTACTGATTCTGTTTTTTCCAGTCAAAAATTGTTTTGATTGTTAATATAAATTACATTGATATTCGTTTTAATCAAAACGTTTCAGTGTAGTTTTATAAATGATACCATTTTGCCAAGCTCTTTAACCAATTTGGCCAGGAATGGTCCAGAAATTAACGTATAATTTTAATATATTAAATTGAATATATTTTTTACCTGTCCAGCTTCAATACTTATTTCTTTTCCCCCCAACAGTAAAAGAGTATGTTCTGTACATTACTACAGCTGCATCCCTGGAGTCAGGAACAGATGCTGATGTGTATGTCACTCTAAGAGGGCTCTTGGGAGACACAGGAAGAAGAAAATTAACAAGGAAAGGAGAGGCTCTTTTCACCAAAGGAAAGGTGTGGTTATCATTTGTAAAGGATATATTGCACTTCTAAGGCCTGATCCAATTCAGATTGACTTCACTGAGAGTTGGATAGGGCCTCCAGTTTCTAGCCGGTGATGCCTTCTGACTTTTAAAATGTGTATGGAGTCACATACAGATAGATTACACACAAAAGAATTCCATTAAAAAGTTTAAGATTACAAGGTCAAGCACTCAAAACTTTGGAAATACCAGAATTAAGGTTATCTGTGAAATGTTAAATTGACTGCTTGTGCATATGCATTATAATACAGACTTTAATTACATGCCAGTCAGTCTCACAGATATTTGGTGACAGCAGAGGAATGGTGAGACTCAGAAATCACATTTTCTACTCTAGGCTATGGGGAGAAACATGCTTTCAGGGTCAAGCAGGGCCGACTTATCCATTAGGCACAGTAGGCACAGTGCCTAGGGCCCACGATACTTTTAGGGGCCCACAAAAATGTTTTAATTTCTTTTAAAATCAGAAGAAAAAAAATGAACTTTTAGGGTCGGAGAAAATGTTTTATTTTTTTCTCACATCAGAAAAAAATGAAACTTTTAGGGCTCACGAAAATCTATTACATTTTGCCTAAAATAGAAAAAAGAGTAAAATGTTGAAGTATTTAAAGTTATATCAAAAATAATTTTTAATATTTTTTTTATAGAGAAAGGGGCCCATGAAGGCACAAGTGCTTAGGGCCCATGAAAGTCATAATGTGGCCCTGGGGTCAAGACCAAGTGGGAAATAATTCTTTTGTTCATTCCCCACAAGTGTGACCCCTTCTGCCTGTCCCTGTTCTACCTTCTGCCTGTCCCTGTTCTAATCCTGAGTCTTCCCCATTCTTTGATCCTCATCCCAGTTCTATTCCCCTCACCTAGCGAGTCCCAGTCTCCACTCCTCAGGCTTTTCATCCCGGTTTGTTTGACCAGCAAGTCCTAGATTTTCTCTGCATAGTCACTGCACAAGCCCTAGTCTCCTACCTTCACTCCTTGTGCCTAGTCCCATTATCCAACCAATTGCAGTCCCCACTTCTGACTCCTCATCAAATTTCCCTTCTCCCCAACTTTAATCTCCAGTCATCTCCTCCCACATGTACATTCCCCATCCCCACTGGCCTCCCAGTCCAAGTTTCTCTTCTTGAGTTTCTCGTCCAATCTCAGCCTCCTCCTCCTCTAGTTCCATGTTCAAGTGTCTTTTCCCAGCCAGTCCTGGGTCCCCCCATCACCCTGGTCCTCATCAGATACATCTGTTCTCCCTCCATCTCTTTCCTATAGCCTCTTAGTTCTCAGTGCTCATCTCCTTTCCTAGCAGTACCTGTCTCCTTCCCTGATTCCCAGGTTACGTTTTCTTGCTCAGTCAGTCCCAGCCTCATTCTCTGCCCCATGTCCAGTCCCAGATTCCCTCCCTGCCACCAACCTTCAGTCCCATTCTCCATTATCAGGCTTCTTGTGCCAACATGTTCCCTTCTCCCATTTCCCCACTGGTCCAGTTCTTCTCTCCTCAGCGTTCAGAACAGGCGGTTTTCTCCTCTAAGCTTCCTGGGCTCAGCAGTGGTGGTGGTGGTCAGGGGAGGCATTCAGAGCACAGGAGAGACAGTGTCACAATTCTGTTAGATAGACATCTGTCAGGGATGGTGTAGACAGAGCTTGGTCCTGCCTTGAGGGAGGGGGGCTGGACTCGATGACCTCTCGAGGTCCCTTCCAGTCCTATGATTCTATGATTCTATGATTCTTTTCAGTTGCCTGGACCACAATTGGGATCCACACTACCCATAACAGCCCAGAGTTCCAGCTGCAGGGAAAGTCCTGGGGTTTGTGCCTACTCTGATGGAATCTTTGAGAATGTAGCTGCTTATGTCTAAGCCAGTACTGAGCATGTATAGTCTTCAATTTCTTTTGCAAGTGCTGGTCCTGGTGTGTATTGCAGTGTGGATATGAGCATACACTCCATTTGCCTGGAATCAGAGAATTCTTGCAAACAGTGCTTATTTGCAGAGGCACCCTTGCTGCCATGTGCTTTCAACCAAATGTATAAAGGGCAGAGTGAATCCACTGTCTCCTCCCCCCTCCATGGCCTGGGTTGAAAACGCCAGTGCCTGGAGCTTTCTTTTGATTTCTTTGATTTGTAAATATTTTAGTTTGCCTTAGTGGTTTTGTACATTGCACTTTATAGTTAATCAGCATTTGATTGTTTTCATAGCTTTTAGCAGAGTTTTCTAGTTAGATAGATTCCCTTCTTCTGGGAATCCCCTCCTTGGCACACTGTAACAAGCATTGGACTATTGGCAAAACTCGGGGCTTCAGAAACTGTGCATCCTGCACTTGTTCTTTCTCCGTCAGTGTTGACCACCAGAGTAGTTTGTATTGTCGTGGGGAGCACATGCCATGGTTCGGTGTGGTATCTACTACTCTTTTCCTAGCCATATTCCTGAGGTGAGGGAACTCTCATTTAGAAAACAACTCATGAAATGACCATCAAGACTCAGACCCACACCAAAGAACTGCTTCCCCTATACATAAATCTGAATTGACATGGAGTGTACCTTCTTCCACAAGGTCTAACTATGTTGCAGGGGAATCCATGTCCACAGGATTCCCTCTTTCCACTTCATCAGGATCATGCCGGGAAGGCAGAGAATGCTCACACAAACATAAGACTTTCCCTCTCAGTCTGCTTCAGAGACATCCAACAGAACTCTGCCTGAATCAAGCAAATCTGTTCATTCAACCCCTAAAGACTAACTCCTAGGGCCATGACTTTAACACCATAAATTCAAAGCTTTACCTGTACTTGACTGCATGCCCGTGACACCCATCCCAGCAGAGTAACATCCAAGTAAAAATGTTGAGATCTACCAGTTCTGGCATGATCAGAGCTTCTACTCATGACAGTATCAATGCTATCTCTTACACCAGCCACACAGAGCCTTCCTCTTCTCACCCCCATCAGTAGGAATGAATAGGATTTCCTCTTATTCCACGGAGGTCAGAGACTTATACAGCATTGGAGGATGTCTTTATTCTTCCTGAGCTTTTGACAAAAGCCTATTCCTTCTTCCATCTACCAGTCATGTTCTTCTGTAAAGGTATGCATTGACTACAGAACTTCCTTGTGCACACCATGTTGTGTTAATCATCAGACATTGGTTTTTCCATGGTTTTTCCATGTCCGTCAATGAGGGTTACAAGTGATTTATGGTCTGTTACCAGTGTAAATGAATCCAGTCTTCACAGATGTCTGTAGAAGTTTTCACTTGCCAGGCACTCCTTCTCAATCTAAGCATTTCATTTTTCTGCATCTGTAAGTATGCAAGAACAAAATGTGACAGGCTTCCATTCAGATCCATATTCTTGTAACAATACACCATTTGGCCAGAGTTGCTTATGTTAACAAACCAACAATGGTTTGTGAGAATATCATAGTGCTTGAGAACTGGAGCTGTTGAGATAATTTCCTTTACCCTTTTGAAAGCAATTTCTTGACTTGGCTCCAGTAGCCAAGATGTGTTTGACTTTAATAGTTCATCCAATGGTTTTGTGACTGTAAAAAGACCTTGTAGGTATCAATTGAAGTAATTTACTATCTGCAGTAAGTGTCACAGTTCTGGAGCATTTGTTTGGTTCATCCAATTTTCAAATTGTTTGTACTTTCTCAGGGCTAGAACTGACCCAAAAACTTACTTGGGTGAAGGCAAAAACCTTTTTTTTAACTTGTTTATCTTCAGTTCAGACTAACTAATTGGACTTAGGACTTCATTGAGAAATTCGCTGTTCTTCCATCAGACGTCCATGTATTAGAATATTGTCAGTAAAAACAACAACTCCCTTTATGTTCATTAACCATTCTGCCATCTTACTTTTTAAAATTTCAGATGCACTAGTAATCCCAAAAGGTAATCTTTGAAAGCAAATTCTCCCAATGGGTGCGATAAATGTAGTTAGTTTAGTTCTTTCTTTAGCTAAAAGAATTTGCCAGAATCTGTTCAAAGCATGCAGCTTGTAGCATCCTTCACTTTGGGGAGCAAGCAATCCAGTGTTAAGAGAATATATTTTACTCACCTCTTCTTCATTAAATCTTCTAAGATTTAAGATTTGCATTTTCTTCATTATCAATACCACACCGTACCAATCTGCTCCTTTCTTTTTTGCGCAGGTGCCACTTTATGAATTAACAGAATAGGAATCTTGAGAGGTATCTATACACTATATGGGTTAGTATTGTTTCTTAAAGTTATTTGTACTTCCTCTCCTGTCAGAAGTCCATCAAGAAGTCCAGTATCCATAAGAAGTCCGTTATCCATCAAGTTCTTCTGCTTGTCTCACTAGGCTCATGCGACTGTCATATTGCAGCTAGGAAGGCTGTTATCTGTGATTAGTTGATCATATGCACTCTGAATGCATGGCTTTTGTCTTAGTGGGTTGTTCCTGTGATGAACTGGCCCATGCACTGATTCCACTCAACCCTTTATGGCTTCAGCTGGAAGCATGAGGAAGGAAAGGGTGTATGTATGCACCAGTGGAGACTGCTTACAAGAATTTGAGTAGATTTTCACAGGAATAGCAAAAAGCATGTCCTCAATATAAGGACCAAATTTTAATTCATTACCTCTAACTTTGGGTGTGTCTAGACTACATGCTAATTCATTACCTCTAACTTTGAGAGTGGTTTGCCATTCAAAGAAACAGTCAACAGAATTTTTTAACATAGAGAAAAAAACTTATTTTCCCTACCCTTATTCCTGGAGACATTGAATCATTTTGGCTAAGTTTTTCCCAAGTATTTCACCCTAAGGCAGACACTCAGCGTGGAGCATTTAAGATAGTTTGACAAAAGTGAGTAACAACTGAAAGTATGGTCTTATAATGGGAAGTGTTGGGAAAACTTAGGAGGAGTTATCAACCCCAACTATGATATAATATACATGGATGTACCTTTCAGTGTACAGCACACAATTCTTTTTTCGTAGGTTAAAATATTGTGCAATAAAG